CACGCAAATAAACAGTTCTTTTTCGTCTTTTTGGGCCCCGTTTTTTATTGAACAGACAGAACATCTCTTCGAGCCCCTTTCTTCTTTGTTGAAAGGAAACTGTATAGGAAGTGTCACTTTCCCCCCCCAAACGAGTGATAATCAGTGATCAATTTTTTTGGAGGGGTTTTTTATGCAAGTGACGTGACCTGGTACTTTATTATTAGTTGTCTGATGACAGATAAACAAAATTCATTGTACGGTGGACTGTTGCTGGTCTTCAACTGGTACATATTATATGCATTGAGCATTGAAATATCCATGAGATGGAAGAAAAGTTTCATGCAACACTTGTAACTCCTACGAACACAACTGGCAAAGCCAATTTGCATGTCACATTTGTCAACCAAACGCATGTTTTGTGTGTAGTCAATCACTGTTGCTGGTTTCAGAATAGGTTTATTCATCACTATTCACCCTGCCACTGTCTTTCATTTCGTTATGGTGAATGGATGTCAGCAATGTGATATCCATTCACCATGCCACTGTAATGCCATGATGTTACTGGCAGCAAACACCTGCACCTCACCACTATGGGTGCCTGCGTTGAACCTGGGCATGTGTGTATGATTAGAATGCACTGTGCCACATACATCTGTTATGTTCACTCGGAAGAAATCAGTGAGCAAGAGGCCTGTGTACCAGTTATCAGTATACAGTGGTACCCTAAGTTTCGGCTATAATTCATTCCAGAAGGCTGTTCGAGTGCCATTACCGAACGAATTTGTTTACCAACGCTCTTATATGGGTGTGAAGCATGGGTGATGAATGTTGCAGCGAGGAGAAGGCTGGAGGCAGTGGAGATGTCATGTCTGAGGGCAATGTGTGGTGTGAATATAATGCAGAGAATTCGTAGTTTGGAAGTTAGGAGGAGGTGCAGGATTACCAAAACTGTTGTCCAGAGGGCTGAGGAAGGGTTGTTGAGGTGGTTCGGACATGTAGAGAGAATGGAGCGAAACAGAATGACTTCAAGAGTGTATCAGTCTGTAGTGGAAGGAAGGCGGGGTAGGGGTCGGCCTAGGAAAGGTTGGAGGGAGGGGGTAAAGGAGGTTTTGTGTGCGAGGGGCTTGGACTTCCAGCAGGCATGCGTGAGCGTGTTTGATAGGAGTGAATGGAGACAAATGGTTTTTAATACTTGACGTGCTGTTGGAGTGTGAGCAAAGTAACATTTATGAAGGGGTTCAGGGAAACCGGCAGGCCGGACTTGAGTCCTGGAGATGGGAAGTACAGTGCCTGCACTCTGAAGGAGGGGTGTTAATGTTGCAGTTTAAAAACTGTAGTGTAAAGCACCCTTCTGGCAAGACAGTGATGGAGTGAATGATGGTGAAAGTTTTTCTTTTTCGGGCCACCCTGCCTTGGTGGGAATCGGCCAGTGTGATAATAAAAAATAAGGAATAATGTACACTAGATCAGTCCATTTCAGACTCCCAAAAATGCACTTACAAAAGCACTTAACCATAATAGACTTACATAATTGTTTGTGTTGGGAGCTGTATGAAACTCGGGGTACCACTGTATAATGTATGCCCCATACCAAGATAAGGTTCCATCATTGTTCTCACTACATCCCCTGATGTAGTGAGGCATGGCCACACAAAAATATTAGTTTTCTCTTGCGACGAGGTACAACTGAATGTGACTGAGATGCACCAGCACCAGAGGTGGAAGGTCAAGGGTCATCAGGACTTTCGGCACTGCTTTCAATATCCTGAGCATTAGTTTCGGTCACAAATTGTTTAAAACCATAGAATTCTTCTTCAGATCCGCTTCCATCCGTGTTAGAACTATCACTTGGAAAGAGGAGATTCCCAATTCACTGGGGAGTGAGAGCTTCCTTACCGCGAGGCATGATGAACAAATTGTACCGAGATGGCATTCCCATAATGCTATGCGGGTGCACTGATTTTGTTTATTGCGCGCAATGACCCATTCTCTTAGATATAGGACTACCAGCCTTCTCACACTAAATTTGAAGCTGCTAGAATTTTGAAGTAGAACTATGGCGTGGACTCTGGCTTCAAAGCCGTAGAACTATGGCATGGGCCCTCAAAGGGTTATTAATCTAAGTTAGCTGAGAAATTCAGAGCTTTCTCATATTCTTTCACTTTTGAATCAAGAAAAACTAAAGCTTCTTATTTACATGTTTAGGCTTAACCCTTTGACTGTTTCGGCCGTATACATACGTCTTATGAGCCAGTGTTTCGGATGTAAATACGTATACTCAATAATTCTAGCGGCTTCAAATCAAGCAGGAGAAAGCTGGTAGGCCCACATGTGAGAGAATGGGTCTGTGTGGTCAGTGTGCATTGTATAAAAAAAAATCCTGCAGCACGCAGTGCATGAGAAAAAAAAATTCCGACCGTGTTTTTGGATTAAAACACTGAATTTGAGGTGTATTTTCGTATAGTATTTATGGTTGTATTCTAGTTTTCGTGGTCTCATTTGATAGAACGGAAAACATATTACAGAAATAGAGATGATTTTGATTAGTTTCATGATGAAAATGACCTTGAAATTGAGTTCAAAGTAGCGGAAATGTTCGATTTTTACCAATGTTCAAGAGTAAGCAAATCACACCACACGTCCAATACACATCAACTGGGGAGTCTAATATTCATTCACTAGCACACTGATATTATTTATACTATTTTCACAATAATGCAGTAGTCTGCATAACGCTAAATCTTCTATTTTTTGTGCGAATAAAAAATCAAAATAGAAAGCAAGAGTATTATAAGAGGGACCTGGAGACATGACTAATGAACAGAAGATATGTTATTTTAGTGCCAAGAATGTCTGCATTGTTTATTCTGGACCCTATTTTGAAACTGGCATCTTTTTTAATTTGCATGAAATTGGCCAAATTGCCAATTTCTGGTCACTTTATTGGGTAGTTGAAATCGGTAAATGGGCGGTTTCTTGTACTCAATTGATAGAAAAAATAGTTCTAAAGAAATAGCTATGAGTTTGGTCGACTGGAACAATGGAACTGGCCGAAAATAGAGCTCAAATTCAGAGAAACTGCCGATGCGTATATATCACCGAGATCGTTAACTTTGTGGGAGTGTAATTCCGTAAGTTTCTGATCAAATTTCGTACTTTTGGTGTCATTACCATCGGGAAAAGATTCTCTATCATTTCATAAGAAAAAAAATTTTTTTTTTTTACCAAAAATTTTGCAACATAGAATGACAGTTTCAGAAATGGACTTGCGACAGTCAAAGGGTTAAGTCACATTCTCCTTCCCCATACATCCACAATCTTACATCTTCTGAATTTTTTGTTGCCCAGTGAGTGCCTCTTAACCGTGAGTTTCACTGATCACCAAGTGTCACTTAACAATGAGTGCGACTTAACTCAAGGATTTCATTTATGCTGTTCTTGGTCTCACTTATATTAATGTTTTAGAATTAAGTCAGAAACCTCTCAATGTTCCTGACTGGTTATTCTTGTAATAACACCTAGTAGTTATGTGCACATCATTTTTACTAACACACCGACCTTCTCCCACTGAGGTATAGTGATCAAAAAAGAAGAAATACTTTTACCTTCAAGCAAATACTACAGTTCAGATGTCCCTCCAAACTGAAAACATCCCTATTCCTCCTTCAGAGTGCAGGCACTATACTTCCCACCTTTAGGACACAAGTCATGCTAACCAGTGTCTCTAAATCCCTTCACAAAATGTTACCTTGCTTATGCTCCAACAGCTTGTCAAATCCCAAAAACCATTTGTCTCCAATCATTCCTATCTAACATGCTGGATGTCCAAGCCCTTCATGCACTAAACCTCCTTTACCCCCTCCCTCCAACCTTTCCTAAGGCAACCCCTACTTTGTCTTCAATCCACTACAAATATACACCCTCCAAATCATCCAATTTTTCTCAATCCTCTTTAAATGTCCAAACCACCTCAGCATCCCCTCCTCAGCCTTCTGGATAATACTTTTAGTAACGCTACACCTCCTAATCTCCAAACTATGAATTCTCTGCTTAATAATTACACTATACATTGCCCTCAAACATGACATCTCCACTGCCTCCAGATTCCTCCTTGCTGCAACATTCACAACCCATGTTTCAAACGCATATTAGAACGTTGGTACCACTATATTCTCATACATTCTTCTTTTGCCTCCATGGATAATGTTTTTTGTTTCTACAAATGCCTTAATGCACCACCCACCTTTTTTCCCTCAATTCTACAGCCTACTTCGTCTCTCACAGACCCATCCGCCAACAAGCCCACCACCAAATATCTGAATACATTCACTCCCTCCATACTCAGCATATAATACTGTGAAATTTAGAATGCAAGCCAACCATTCTTTTCTTATATGTCAATTGCTCAAATTCTTATTGCCCATATAACCTTCTCTAATATACTGTTTTTTATTGCAGTAAAATAAAAAAAAATTCCAAGCCAAGATGTGTTTAACAAATCATAAATGTTGCATGTTGAATGAGTGTGTAGCTACTACTATTGTTACACAAACCTAACTGAGCTCATTTTAGAGTTGTACCATATAAAAGTGTGGCAGGTACAGCATTTCTTCAAATTCAACTTGTTTAGCATCTTGAAGCAAAAAGTAATTTGTACAAATTATAGCAATTCCTTATTCAGAACTTCTTTATTAGGAATTTTCTATAACTGAGACAGCTGTTCACACACTTTGATTCAGAAGATATAATTCCTCTCTGAGTGTTATAATGTACTTGAATATGTATATAGTTATAAGTTAACCTGGGAACCTGTGATGGAAGTGAAGAAACTTTTTCTGTCTTGTCTCCCAAGCTTACTTTTTGATTACATTCAAAATATAATCAACATGCAGGGACCATTCTCCAGTTTAGTAAGAAAATAGAGAGAAATTAAGAAAGGAAAATTTTGCAAAACATAAGAAAAAGAAAGCAATGAACAAAATGTAATAATATGCTATACAAGCTTAAAACATACAAACCTCGAAGACAATTTGCTTACGCAGTCGCTTAATGGCAACGCTCCTTAGACTAGCTGGGCGTCTCTCTGATTGCATCAATCCACTATACCTCATTTGGATGCAGCAAATATCTATGAGCACAGAAATTGAAAAATAAATTAAAAAAAAAAAAAAAAAAAAAAAAAAAAAAAAAAAAAACACTAAACACATTGATTTTATATATTTAACTGAATTCAATAATAAATATATACAGCCTCTCATCACTTAACAATGGAATTCCGTTCCTAAGACAACGTCGGTAAACGAATTAATTCAATGCTAAGTGAGGAGCATACTATAATGGTAGTGGGTTTGTGTCAACCATCTCTGATATTGTTTGAATGTCACCTTTGCACCATTTATAACATTTCTAGTATATTTTTAAATGTTTATACAGCAGTGTACTGTATACTGTAATAAACAAAATAGAGGAAATCAGTTCAAATATGCATTATTCAGGTATGCATACTGGTCAGAGAGCCTGTCGTAAGTCTGAGTCCTCAGTAAATGAGTACATCGCTAAGTGAGGAGAGGCTGTACTTTATCAAGTTTAGAGTCAATTCTGATGTCACTAAATACACGTTGAAGTGAGAAATTTGTAAGAGATTTTGTTTTATTTAAAAATAAATATCACAGGATTGAACTCCAAATTAAGAGGTATAGGCAAAAAGAATAAAAAGGCCTAATACTGTGACTGGAACAATACACAAATACCCTCATATAGGAGACAAACTCTCTTCTCTCAAACTCATTCTCTGACTGTTGTTTCACTACCACTATTGCCTTCTTAATGCCACCTCTACCTCTGTTGCACAACTTTTTCTACTGGTAATGGTACCACTGCCACATTAACCCTTTCGGAGTGGGTCCTGAAGTACTACAGCTTTAAAGTGCAGGTCAGTCCCATATTTCTATGCCATGAGCTCAGCTCACTCAGATAAGCTGTGAGCAGTAAACCTGGGTCTAGATAAGAGAGAATGGGTTTATGCAGCAAGTGTGCCCCACATAAAAAAATACAAGCAGCATGCAGTACATAATAGGAAATGAAGAACAACCACTGAAAGAATAGTGAATTTCCAAACGCTTTCGTGATCTTTCACATTACAGTGGAATCTCAAAAATCGAACGTATCACATATCGAATGTTTCGAAAAAAGAACCATTTTTTCGGACAAACTGTGTCCCTATTATCGAATGTGCCCATATTTTCGGACCGCTGGGTACGGGACCTGTCTGCCGCCCACTCTGTCCGCGTCCCCACGCAGGCGCCGTGAGCAGTCTAGCTTTGTTTATGCTTGAATGAACACTAACCTGCGCTCTCATTCACGCATTTTACGATTATTTCGTTGTGTTTAGTGCTTGTGGGACTGTGAAATAAGCTGCCATGGGCCCAAAGAAACTTGCTAGTGGTACCCCTGTGGTAAAGAGAGTGAGAAACACCATAGACGTGAAGAAGGAAATAATACAGAAGTATGAGAGTGGTGTGAGACTTGTTGAGCTTGCCAGGATGTATGGGAAAAACAAGTCGACCATTGGTTCTATCCTGTCAAAGAAAGAACAGATCAAGGAAGCTGATGTTGCGAAAGGTGTTAATATAGGGAGTGGATGAGGTGCCTTCTTCAAAGATTAAGGAGATTTGTGCCAAGTGGAATGATGTCCAAATGTTTGTGCAGAAGTACCACCCTGAGCAAGCTCATACAAGCCATCTTTGCAACAAGTTCAGTGACAGAACCATGTCCCATTTTGGGGAAATGTTAAAGAGGCGCCAGAAACAGAGGACTGTGGACAGTTATTTTGTGAGACAGGGGTCCAGTGACTCTCAAGCCGGTCCTAGTGGCACTAAAAGACAGAGAAGGGAAGTAACCCCAGAGAGGGATTTACCTGAAGTCCTCATGGAGGGGGATTCTCCTTCCAAACACTAACCCCAACTCCCTCTCTCCTCCTCCCTATCTTCCAGATGCCATCACCAATCTTCAATAAAGGTAAGTAAAAATGTTATTTTATATGTATTACTATACATAATTAAAAACTATAGTATTTGTTGTATGTAAAACTGTAATTAATCCCTATAAAATGTATTTTTTGTGTGAATATTTTTGGGTTTCTGAAACGGATTAATTGTATTTCCATTATTTCTTATGGGAAATATTGCTTCGAATTTCAGACTTTTCGAATTTAGAACTAGCTCCAGGAATGGATTAAGTTCGATTTTTGAGGTTCCACTGTAATAGGTGTTTGGCAGGCTGGCTGGCTGGCCAGCTGGCTGGGGGGGTGGTGGGTGGCTGGCTGGCTGATTGACTTTGGCTGTTTCTATCTCTGTCTGTCTCACAGGTACATGTAGGTACAGTAATTATGCATAGTGTAAATTACCTAGGATAACCCAAAAAATCCAAAGTGATATACTGTGCTTGTAGGTATTTTTTCTTAATATGTCAACCGTTTCCCACTGAGGCAAGGTGACCCAAAAGAAAGAACCCAAAAAGAAAGAAAAAAAAACTTTCATTATCATTTAACATTTTCACCAACACCCATACATAATCAATGTCTTTGCAGAGGCGCCCAGATATGACAGTTTAGATAGTCACTCCAAACTGCCATATCCCAAACCCATCCTTTAAAGTGCAGGCATTGTACTTCCCATTTCCAAGACTCAAGTTCAGCTAACTCGTTTCCCTGAATCCCTTCACAAAATATTACCCTGCTCACACTCCAACAGCTCGTCAGGTCCCAAAACCCATTCGTCTCCATTCACGCCTATCTAACACTCTCACAACACTATGCTGGAAATCCAAACTCCTCACCCACAAAACCTCCTTTACCCCCTCCCTCTAACCATTTCAAGGATGACCGCCCTACCCTGCCTTCCTTCCCCTACAGAATTATATGCTCTCCAAGTCATTCTACTTTGTTCCATTCTCTCTAAATGACCAAACCACCTCAACAACCCCTCTTCAGCCCTCTGACTAATACTTTTAGTAACTCCACACCTCCCCCTTAATTTCCACACTGCAAATTCTCTGCATAATATTTACACCACACACTGCCCTTACACATGACATCTCCAGTGCCTCCAGCTGCCTCCTCACTACAGTATTTACAACCCAAGCTTCACACCCATATAAGAGTGTTGGTACCACTATACTTTTGTACATTACCTTCTTTGCCTCCATGGATAACGTGCTTTGTCTTCACAGATACCTCAACGCACCACTCACCTTTTTTTCTTCATCAATTCTATGGTTAACCTTATCCTTCATAAACCCATATGCTGACAAGGCAACTCCCAAATACAGCGGACCCTTGAGTTTCGTAAGGCTCACGGTTTGTAAATTTCGACTTTCGACAACTTTTTTCGTCAAAATATAGCCTCGCGGTTCGTAACTTGGCTCACCATTCATTGCTTGTCTGGAACACGTACAAGTGGCCTCCCAGCGTCCACACTGCACAAAGGTGCCCCACACACCACTACCAGTCAGTGTGGCACTGTTTATTGGCGAGTGAACATCACTCCACGCATCCATACGATACATTTCATAATATTCCATTCTTTTTTTGTGCATGTAACTTCTAAATAAGCCACCATGGGCCCAAAGAAAGCTTGTAGTCTCAGCCCTTAGGTAAAGAATGTGAGAAACACGATAGAATTCAGGAAAGAAATCATTGAAAAATATGAAAGTGGCGTGCATGTGGCCCATCTTGCCAGGATGTATGGGAAGCCACATACAATCATCGCTTCCATTATGGCGAAGAAAAAGGAAATCAAGGAAGCTGTTGTTGCAAAAGGGGTAGATATGCTCACAAAAAAGAGTTCGTGAATACTTGAAGATGTTGAGAATTTGTTGTTGGTGTGGATCAACCAAAAACAGTTAGCAGGAGAGTGTTATGCAGTCGACAATTTGTGAAAAGGAAAGGCAGTTGGATGTCTATCTTGTAAAGAAAATGTCTGGAATGAGTGCTGTTGTTAGTGAATTTAAGACCAGTTAAGGCTGGTCTGAGAGATTTAACCATTAAACGGTCCAAGCGTATATATACGTTCACTTGCGTAGCGCCCCAACTTTTTTGAGGAAAAAAAAAATCTTTTCTTTTAAAAGGAAAAAAGAGCATATGGTACTCAGGCATCCCCAATTATTTTATTATGGCACACAGTGAGTGCGCACACCCATTCTCTCATGTCTAGGTGACTCAGGCTTATTGTGGCAATGTTGAATGAATGACAAAGAAAATGTATATATACGTTTGGGGCGCCACGCTCGTGAACGTACGTATATATACGTTTGGACCGTTTAAGGGTTAAGAAGCATAGTGGTATACACAGAGTGGAAGGGCATGGCGAGGCTGCCATGTCTGACAAATATGCGGCTGAAAAACTCATGCAGAAATTCAAGGACTATGTAGACGCTGAAGGATTCGTCCCCCAACAAGTGTTCAATTGTGACGAAACAGGCCTCTTTTGGAAGAAAATGCCAAAGAGGACCTACATCATGCAGGAGGAAACAGCACTGCCAGGACACAAGCCTATGAAAGACAGACTAACTCTCATGTTCTATGGTAATGCTAGTGGGGATTTCAAAGTGAAGCCTTTACTGGTGCATCACTCTGAAAATCCCAGAATATTCAAGAAACACAGAGTCACCAAGAGTAAATTGTGTGTAATGTGGAAGGCTAACAGTAAGGTATGGATCACAAGGAAATTTTTCCTTGATTGGTTCAATGAAGTGTTTGGCCCGAGTGTGAAGAAATGCCTCCTGGAAAAAAAAACTGCCAATCAAATGCCTCCTGGTAATGGACAGTGCTCCTGCTCATCCTCCAGACTTGGATGACCAAATGGTGGACGAGTTTAGTTTCATCACAGTGATGTTCTTGCCCCCTAATACCACTCCTCTCATCCAGCCCATGGACCAGCAGATCATTTCAAACTTCAAAAAACTCTACACAAAAGCAATGTTTCAAAGGTGCTTTGATGTTACCTCTGGTACTCATATGACCTTAAGAGAGTTTTGGGAAGATCATTTCAATATCCTCCATTGCATAGGCCTTATAGATAAGGCTTAGCAGGGAGTGACTTTCAGGACTTTCAACTCTGCTTGGAGAAA